GCGCTCCCTCTGTACTGACCCTCCGACAGTGCAGCACTCCCTCAGTACTGACCCTCTGGCAGTGCGGCACTCCCTCAGCACTGACCCTCTGACAGTGCAGCATTCCCTCAGCACAGCACAGAGTGTATGATCCTGACTGTGTTGAAGCCATTAGGGGAACTGAACACAAAACCTTTTGACTTCCCGGAGGTCCAGCTAATACTGTGAATGCAGTTTCACAACTTGTTGTGGTGGGATCAAAATTCTGATGTCTAACATGCTGGTATCAGGAGCAGAATGATATTCCTGATTACACGCTGTCCCAGAGAGTGGCGCGAGAGGGGTCAGAGAGGATCCCCTGATTTTGTTCCTTCACCAGTTTAGTGTTAAATTATGAAGACATGTGCATAAATGAGGCTTGTGTTTTCTGAGTATTGAAGGTTGGAGGGATTTAAAAATGTAAGATAGATTTGAAGAAACCCTTTCTTCCAGTTGGACATTACTAGAACAAGGGGACACAATCTGATATAAACAGAGAGAAACTCAGCAGGTCTGGCAGCGTTTGTGGTGAGTGAAACAGAGGTGAGATGTCAGGTTGAATATAACTCCTTCAGAGTTCAAATTCTGACAAAAGCTGGTTTCTGCTGTTTGACCTTCCTGATGGAAGGAACTATTTTTGGAGGGTTGAGGGAGGGGTACAGGGTTTAGGGCAACAGTGCGTTCACTTGATTCACTCACACCTCAAGACCTCCCTCTGTCTCCTTGCAGTCACATCCAGCAGCAAAGCAACAAGATTCTGCTCAAACTTTATAAGCCCAATAGCTGTGTCTCATTTGATGTATTGTTGGGAGATAGTGTTGTTGTGGTAACATCACTGGGCTATGGGCCCAGAAGCATAGTTCATTCTCTGGGGACTTGTATCCATAATCTACAGCCCTAGGCATTTGGTAGAGTAAGAGGCTTTAATAAATCTGGAAATTATTGTGAGACGTAGGAGGAGCTGTAGGCCATTCAGCCCATTGAACCTGCTCTTCCATTCAATGAGATCATGGCTGATCAGATAATTCTCAACTCCATTTTCTTGTCTTTTCTCCGTATTAAAAGCTGATCTCTGCTTTAGTGACCATGAAACTATCATTGATTGTTGTATTAAATCATTTGGTTTACTCATGTCCTTTAGGGAAGAAAACTGCCATCCTTACCTGGTCTGGCCTACATGTGACTCCAGACCCACAGCAATGTGGTCGACTCTGAATTGCCCCCTGAAACGGCTGAACAAACCTTTCAGTTCAAGGGTATCTGGGAAGGGGGCAAAATGCTAGCCTTGTCAGCAATAACAAAATCCCATTGAACATTTAGAGAGAAATTATGAACGTGGCACTGACATGCTGGATGCAGAGGAGGTTTACCAGGACATAAGCAGCAATGTGATGCTTCAGTAATGAAGGAGAAATTTGGTCTGTACTCCTTGGAACTGGAATAATTAAGGGTGACTTAACAGCAAGAGGAGAAATACTTTTCCTCACAGTTGTCAGATTGGGATTCTCAACCAGAAAAGACATTGGAAGCTGCTTCCATACGGTGGCTCAGTGGTTAGCACTGCTGCCTCACAATGCCAGGGACCTAGGTTCAATTCCAGCCTCAGGTGACTGTCTGTACATGTTCTCCCTGTGTCTGCACAGGTTTCCTCCCACAATCCAAAGATGAAGGGTCTAGGCCCGAAACGTCAGCCTCTCTTCTCCTATGATGCTGCTTGGCCTGCTGTGTTCATCCAGCCCTGCACCTATATGCAGGTTAGGGTGGATTGACCATGCTGAATTGCCCAGAGTCCTGGGATGTGCAGGATAGGTGGGTTAGCCATGGGAAATGCAGGGTTACAGGGATGGATGGGATGCACTTCGATGGGATGGTGTGGATTCAATTGAATTCAACAGCCTGCTTCTGTATTGTAAGGATTCTATGAAGGATTAACAAACTTACTGTTACAAAAAGCTAAAAAAGGGATGGGTTCAATGACAAACATGTGTGTTTTTTCAAAAAACCAGTATAAGCATGAAGGACGAATGGCTTCCCCTGTGCTGTAGGATTCTACAGTTTCTGGGAGGAAGGGCAGAGTTCTTAAACAAACATATTGAGTGTAATTGTGTTAAACAGGCACCATAGTGTAACAGAACTATCCCAGTGATAAACACATTGGCTGCTTCACCTTTCTTTGTCAACCCAGAAGCCCTGCCTTGACTGCACCGACTGTGTTATCACTTCATCAAAACCCAGCAGCGATACATTTTCAACTCATGACTGGGAACAGGGTGTTTACCCACAGCTTTTTCAAAGCAAAGCATGAATCAGACCCTTTCCTCAAGGTGACTCAGACTAGCCTCCTTCAGAACAAAATATGGATCAGATCGTTTGCAGATTGAAAAGAGCTTGGTCACGGCATACTGTATATTAGTCTTTTCTTTGATTTGTGAGGGACAAAGGGAACCATCAGAATTCTACAGGCTGGCTTCCATTTTCTCAACCTGTGTTCAAAAAATATTTTGATCAAGGGTGAATAGTACAAACATAGCTATAGTGTTACATAGTCCTCCAAGATTGCTTAGCAGTCTTCAGGAAAAAAAATCCCTGGGATATTTCTGCCATAATACAAACACAGAAGGAAAATTATGGTCATAGAACATTGGAATGAGGCCATTCAGCCCCTTGAGCCTGCTCCGCCATTCTGATCCTGGCCTTAACTCCATACCCCTGCCTTTAGCCTGTTTCCCTTAATACCTTTGTTTAATAAATATTTATCCATCTCAGGTTTAAAAATTAACAACTGATCCACCATCCACTGTCATTCGTGGAAGAGAGTTCCAAACCTCTCCCACCCTTTGTGTGTCAAAGTGCTTCCTAACATCTCTCCTGAATGGTCTGGCCCTAATTCTCAGACTATGCTCCCAGTTCTAGAATCCCCAACCAGTGGGAATAGTTTATCATCCTTCATAACGTCCTTAAAAATGAGGGAGTCCATGTCTTTTTGTTATTTTCTTCAAACATTCCAGTTGATTTATCAGAACAATATCGGGGGGTGGGATAAAAGGGATGGTTTCTCTGTGTTGGAAACCTTTTGGAAGTCAGAGGTCATGTGACGTGACTTCCAGGAGGGTGTTTAACCCGATTTGGCAGCTGTAAAGTTCCATGTTACTTCAAAGCATGTATTTCCACATTGTTATACCCGCTGCGGCAACATCCTGCATCCCAGCTCCTACTCTGTGTTCTGATTGTGGCCATGAGTAGGTCACCTCCCCAAACTCCACCCTCTTGTCTGAATCATTCACAGTAGTCCTTACCCTCAGACTGGAATGGCTAATTCCATTCAGACAGACAGCTTCAGCAAGTGGGCAAAACCTTGGCAGGTATAATATAATGCGGAGGAAAGTGAGATTATGCACTTTGGCAGGAAGAACAGAGGAGTAGAATATTACTTAAACAGAGGGACACTGCAGAAAGCTACAGAACTGAGGGGTTTGGGAGTATTCATCCA